TACCAGATTTGCTGCAGAATCTCTTAGTACTAAGAATATCTTATCACTTGTCAACTTATACTGTTCAAGAACAATTTTTAACTGTTCACTGATTCGTGTAGCTGTGTGGGAACCTTCAAAGGAAACAATTTGCAAAACAGCTCTTTCCTGCTGAAAATCATCCTTCAACCAGTGGGCTGTTACACTTAAAAAAGGAGAATTGTTTGTAGCTGCTGTCCAAATATCAGTGGTTAAAAAAATATATTTTGTTTCTGTTAAACACAGAAACACTTCAGCTTTTTAAACAATGTTGAAGTTTCCATGTGTCAACAATTAAGTGTTGAGATTTATTTTAGAAACAAAGGAAGAGATTGTTGATTTTGCGAGGATATTCGATCGTCTCTTGTTTACCTGACCCAACGGAGATGGAAATACCAGGTGGAGAAAAATGGGTTTTTTCCACATTATAATTAACTCCAGGATCTCACACTATTAATGCAATAAATTTTTAACACTAATCGGCTGATTAATTGGTATCGGCCGATAATGCATGGCCGATTAATCGGTAATCGGCCATTTTGCTTATCGATGCATCCTTAATATTAATTCAAAAGCTTTCTCAAAAACATTTTTGCTTTATATATATACTAGAGGTTCTATTACTGACACTTTTGGCAGACCAACCATGGCTTTTTGTATTAATTTACAATGCTCTCTCCTCCTCTGTGCTGAATGTTGTTTTAATTCTTTAGATAATGAACAATATTAGTTTTATACAATTTGATGAAATAACTGTAGATAATTTAATATAGAATGATTGTGATAATACAAAAAAAAGTGATATAATTTTAACTATAACTATTAATTTGCTTGTATTAACATTTAAAAAAATAGACAGATGATGTTTATATCAACTTGCCTGAATGTTATGGCTTTCTACCAGGTGTAAAGAGTCAAAATCCAATATGTAGCAAAAGTTATAACACCTAATATATTTGATTTTTTTGAAATTTTAGATTTTTTGGTAATACATTCAAAAGCAGACAACAAATATATCATTTCATTTTTTCTTTGTAAGGTTTACTTCTATTCAAACATTTTGTTCAATGAATCAGTGAAGCCAATATAGCTTACAAATGCTGCATTATACGGAGTCATCAAGGTAAATCCAAAATTTCTTTGCAGGAAATCTTAGGCAGTCTTGAAGATAAGACTGTTGATGAAAGTATATACAGGCATCAAGTCACTCAAGAAAAAAGCAAGCACCAGTCAACAACTAAGACCTGCTCAGACATGTTGTGAGAATACAACTAAAGAGTTGCTATACTGGAATTGCTTTGCACTGAAAAATCATTCTCACAAATCATGGCATGGTTTGGCTAGAAGAAGACACAAGCTTATGAAATAGCCAAGAAGATCACAAAGTCTGACAAAGAGAATGTGACTCCTGACAGCAAACTTACAGTAAGCATTCTGATTGCAAGAGAAGTGCAGAATCTGTAGCCAAATTGAAGGTGAATATCAATTAGGATGGTGTGTGGAAAATGAGTGACTGTGCAAAAGAAATGGGCATGGTGAGGTCAACAATCAGTCTGGCACAAGGACCTGTATTCATTTGTCCTCAGGAATTGTCAGCTCCAATTCTAACAGGATTCTGCTCCATCTCACAGGGCAAGGTAGACAAGCCTGACTTTATGGCAACCTCCACACCAATGGTCCCCATCCAGCCCTGACAGCAATCCCCTTGATAAATGTATGTGGAGCATGGTCAAGGCAAAGGTAAATGCAAAACATCATAATACCAAGAATGCTCTAAAGGCTTCTATCATGCAGGTGATGATGAACATAAACAAGGAGTGGGGTCAAGTGCACCTGCAGCTGTTTCTGGTCAAAACTGGAAAAAATCATGGAACTGGATGGAGACTACACAGAATAAATTCATTATGTTGTGTACTACATTTGTACCAATTTTTGTAAGAATATATTGATTTTTCCCTCTATTTAAGAATCTGTTTAAGAATTTTTTCATCTGAAGCATGTCTTAGAAGTAGACCAAAAAGTTTGTTTTTTTTCTGAAAAATCAGCTGGGTGAATATAAAGATACTGAATTTTTGTACAATATAGTATAGCCCAGTTTCTGGAGAAATTTTATTTTATTTATAATAATATTTATGTTGTAATCAAGCATTTAAAACTGTATAATACAGTTTTTAATATCATTTATAAGAGTTAAAAGCATTCTTTCTTTTGCATAAAAATTCATTCTGAATTATAAAATGAAACTGTAGGCAGAGTCTACATTTTCAATTCATATAAAAAGATTTTTATTTGATGTAGAAATCAATGTTATTAGGATTCTGAATAATTTGTGAAAGAACACACTTATAAAGGGACACAATAATAAGATAAAGGTCTTTAAAATTATAAAGCTATTGCATTAATCAGTATACTGGGCAAAATGCTGATAACCATTTTAACAGAATGCATCAAAGCCAAATTAAAGAACAATCAAGAGTTGAACAGGCTGGTTTCAGAAAGGAGAGAATTACAGATATAGCATAGCAGATTCTCTCTGTCTAGTTGCAGAAAAGGCCAAATGGAAAAAACAAGAAAATCTTTGCTTCTTTCATACATTTTAACTCTTTGGTAGACCAAAATGTTACCTGAATAGTTTTGAAGGTAATATGGTGTTGACTCAAAATTTATTTTACAGTTAAAATATTTTTATGACAATGCTGAACAACAGTGAGAACTTGTTAAAGGATGCAGAATCCTCAAATAAAAGGTCGGCATTTAGATCATTTTAACTTTGTGTGTTTTTCATTATAATTTATCACGTGTTCTGTGGAAGTTCATCCAAGCCAATATACTGTTACTTCTGTGGTGTGTTAAAAAAGGATGAAAGATAAACTCGAAATACTTTATAAATTTTTTGTAAATAGTCACAATTCAATTTTTAATTGAAGATATCCTGGGTTGTTCATGTTATCATGTATGCTGTTATGAAAACTTTCATAATCTTGGGGAATGGTTTCTCATAAGCAGGCAATTCATTTTATTTTGGTATTAGATAGAAGAATGAACAAGATCAAAAAGAAATCAAAAGTAGCAACTGCCATGGGATCAAAATCACAAATCTAAAACATATAGATGGCAGTCATCTTTGAAGCTATCAGGAACTGTCCAATCTGTGATGAAGCAAAACAATATGGCCTAGCCTTAAACATGGAGAAAGCAAAAACTATAGTTTATGCTATCTAACACTACTGGACTATAGCTATTGAAAGAAATAAAATTGAAAGCTTAAAAATTAAAAATATGAGTACTTCCTTTACTTGGTAATAACTTGTGATCTGAACTGTAAAAAAATAATATACAGGGTTCCTACTCAAATTTTTGTTTTGAATTCCCTGACTTTCCCTGACCAACTTTGTCCAAATTCCCTGACCCTCACATTTTTTAGTGTGGAATATCGACATAATAAAACAGCATTTACTGTTAACATTGAGTACATTTAGCCCTCTTTTTGCACAGTTGATATGCTTCAAAGACTGCCACATTAAAAAAATACAGTACATACATCCTGTAGAAAAATGTTTGATAGAATCCACAATTTCAATGTAATGAAAAAATAAGCAATTTACAAACAAAACACAAGCTTTTTATTTTATCATCATTTATCATTATTATTTGTATGTAAATCTAGTAAATACAAGGTAACATAAAATCAACAAAAATTATTCTTTGATAAACAAATAGTACTGTACTGTGCTTAAAATGAACTCTTGATTTAGAAACACATAATTTTAAAATCAATCTTTCAACAAAAAGAGTAACTTTTTTTTAACCTTTTTACATTACCATCTGTTGCATATCTTAAAAACAGTTATTGCAAATATAATGTTTAAACATGCATTATTATATGGATAGGATAGATAGGGTGTGACCCATATCCTATTTCTGAGATCAAAGAATGTTTTGATGAGAAGAAATAAAACTCATATTTAATCACTGAGCCTTCTACTGCCCCCATGAAAGCCTCCAGTGCCCGCAAAGGGGCGTTATCACCCACTTTGAGAAAGGATGATCTAGACCAGTGTTTCTCAACCCAAAACTCATCGCAGACCGGAAAATATCTGCTTTTTTTAAGTGGACCAGTGACAATATTATTTTTAATTGAAAAAAATTCTCTGTTGTAAAAAGAACTGCAAACTACATTGAGCAATAAATATTTGTTATTTTATTTACCAGTACATTAGTATACAAATCAATGTGATCGCTGCTTTTCTTTTTTGCTAGTAAGATCATCAATTCTTGGAGTTAAGGCGGTAACTGCAAGGCGTGAGGCAGAACTAATACTATAATGATTTTGTTGTTTCAATTTTATCATTACCATTGCTGAAAACATTGATTCACATAAGTACGTTGTTGAAAAAGGTAGTAACATCCTAACTGCCTTTTTATGTAAAACTGGATATTCAGATTTAACTTTAATCCAAAACTGTGTTATGGGCATTGATTCAAACAATGTTTTAAATCCCAAGTCTGAACTTAATTTGATTAGTTTTTCGTATTCAAAGTCGTTCAATCTATTAGTTTGCTATCAATAAACGGATTAATAATCCACATATTTCCTATTTGAGAACAACGCATGGAAGGTACAGTATATATTTTTAAAGTTTTCGCGGACTGGTCAGATTAGAGTTGCGGACCGGCGGTTGAGAAACACGGGTCTAGACTATTTCTCAAGTTTCTATAAAAAATTTCTGTTCATTCCTTTTTTTCTCTAATAATTAAATTATTTTACGTTTTTCTATTTTAGTTCCGGACAATTCCGGAACCTCACACTTGTATTCCTATGAAGTCATAGTATTACGAAAATTGGGATTCTTAAAACTTATAAAATAAAATAAATACAGAAATAAACAACAAACGAAATTACAATTATACGTTATTAAAATATAGAAGTTCAGCGCAGAGAATCGTAACTACAAATCTCTTTCTTTTGCAACATAACTATAAAAATTGTTTTGGTGTTGTTTCGCACAAAAAATAATCAAATTTATTTTAATTTTTTAGTAATGTAATTATTTTTTTTTAAATTTACAGCTTTTTAATTTTTAAATTTTAATTATAAGCAAGTTAACATTGGTTAAACTATCGGATTACCTG